CGATCCGCTCTGCTCGCCTCTTGGGAGCGCGTCACCAGCTGCGCGTCCGCCTTGAAAGGCGTACACGCGCAGCCGGGGCTGCTGGCGTTCCATGTCGTGCAGGTCGAGGCCTCGCAAACCACCCTCCTCGGCTTTTCGAGGCCCCGATGAAATCGCCGGAGCTTGGAGGAGGGCCAATCAACGAGTTAAGTTAGGGGTTCAAACCCCCAAACTTCCAACCCAAAATCCCCCTGAAAGAAACTGCCTTCGACTGGAGATTCGGCACAAAACACCCATGCAGACATTTTCCGGAGATCGAAGATCCAGGAGAGGAAATTTCGGAAGCGGGAACCTAACAAACAATAAGGAAGAGACATCCCAAAATAGTCAACCAGGTGGATTGGGGAGTGTTCGGATCCCACTGCCAATGGACCAGGGGATTATATAATGAGGGAGCCGTAGTTGTCCACAAAGCCAAAAAAAGGTGAAATGTAAAAGCTAAGCTTCTGATTCTCAGTGTTCTCCACACGCATCGCCAGACCGACTGCTGCAAGGAGCCAAGCAAAGCGAAACAACATGGCGACGGATTTGATCGGATTTCTAAGACTACTAGAATCGCTCGAATCTGGATACGGCTGCGCAACATTCCTCGACGTCAAACAAAAGAAGGAGCGACACAGATGACCTCTTGTCCAAAGCAGCTGGGTTTCCCTTGTTCTGTACTTGCAGTACTCCCCAGTGAACTCGGCTGCCTTGGCCCAAAAGGTGGGTCCCCCCTTTTCACCTGGATTGTGTCGCATGATGATGCATGGTGCACCTGGGGGGGATAGGGCATCAACCAGACGTACAGGGTTGCTTAAATATAGGTGTGCTTTTGGTAAAATAAAGGTTCCTGGTATATGCAACTTAACCAAAGCAAACCAGGGCCATCCATTTCTAGGCAGATTCACCAACAAACTATGCTTGTTGATGCTTGTTGTGTTTTTTTTTGTCTGGTTCAAATCCGCATCCTTTCCGGGCAACGTACCCGGCTTCCGCCGGCTTCAACCGCCATTTTCGAGAGCTCATTGGGCCCTCGGAGGTCTATGCATGGATAAGCCCAGGCCTTAGCACCGCTAATTTGTACTCTTAACTTTCTGCTGGCTGATTGGTGGCGAACGTCAGCATGGTAAAACTTAGAGGTCCAAGACCCAACTAGCCCAAGTTCACGGGTTGAGGCCCCTGGGCCGCCATGGTTTGCCACGGACCCACCGGGTTCTTTTCCGTGGCTAGCTCCCTCCAAGTTGCCGCATCCGCCTCCGCGCGCACGGACTCGCAGGGGAACTTCCCGCTGGCGGCCTCGCCGCTGAGCATCACCGCGTCCGCGCCGTCGAACCTAAGGCAAACATACCACACATGCAGAATAGCAATTGCCTGGTGGCGTCCATGACGAGCAGCCACGTCCCCACCCCTAACTGGAAATCCTGAGGCGCCCCTTGCTTATACATGACTTTCCGTGTGCGAAGGGAAAGCCCCTTCTCGCCAATTTGGAGCCCATTGTAGGTGTGGTGCTTGGTTTTGTTAGAAGGGGACAACGGGGGGCCCCTTTGGATCCATGGAATATAGTTGGGTCCCATGTTGGCACTGAGACCGTCCGACAAAACGCAAGCCACGAAGGCCCCCGGCCCAAGGGATGCAACGCAGGATTTTGTAAGGCCCCTTGATGGACATGGACACCCCTGATTCAGGTTTTCCACAGCTTCACGCATGAAATCACCCTCGTGGATGGCAGTCATGTTCATATACTTGATGGTGTAAAACGTGACCAGAAAAGGAGGCCCAGCACTTCTCATTGCAGCGCAGGAGCACGGCATTCTGCAAATCAGTGACTTCTGCGCGAGTGGGCACCGGGTTCTCAATCATGCTCTCCTCAGCGCTGCTCTCTCCCCATCTCTGTGTGTTTCAAGCCCTCTCTCTTTCTTTCCCTCTGCATTTTTTGGCAGCAGCAAGCAGCGGCAACTACCATTTCGAAAACTTCCCGCCCAGTGCCGGGTTCCCTTTGCTTTGTTGGGGGGGTTCTCCGGCAATGCAAACGGGCGCAAAGCGGGTGTGCCAAATCGCGGCAAGCCGCGACCATTTGCGTGGCATTGATGACAAAAAGCCCGGCCTGGCGATGGTTCAAAAGGCGGGAAGAGTTGACATTACGCATCATGTATGCTTCAGGACATATCATTCGTATGACATCTAATATGAGTCCCCACAGTTGTTGCGTCTTTGGTGAGTCCCATGTCCCTCCCAAAAGAACCATAGACTACCAAACAAATTGCCCGAACTGCACCTGGGTGGCCTGTTGGATTAGTAGTTTGATTGAACGGCTAAATTCTATTGGGATGGCAGTGTAAAGTATCGTGTTAACTGACCATGGCCCGAATGGGTGGGGCGGATGTGGGGGGGGGGGGCGGACCCGCTGACTTCAACCCGTTTACCCAGCTCAACTTTGGGCTAGTGAATATTTAAAAGAAGATGAAGACTGAACGCCCATCAAGGTACTGACAGGAAAATAGCCTCCAGCCACTCGAACGAAATAGTCCTGTGTGATATATGCGGCCCAAACCTTTACATATCGCAGGTCAAAAAGCTGGGTGGTGTCCAATCAGCCGCTGTAATGTCAGGCAGCATGACAGGTGCAACTTGCATAAGAGGCAACTTGCATAAGAGGTGTTCATGAAGCAATGGACAAACTTTCAAGCCCGGTGATGCTTAAACCTCCCACACCGCGGTCAAAAAACTTTCCACTGGGGGTGGGCTTCCGCCCTGTGCGTCTTCCCCTGCCAAGTCTGCAAAGCTCAAAGGTTGAAGGGGCACGCCCAAGGGGAAGTACAAGCCCACTAAGTTGATGGTCCCTTTTGCACGCCTAGCCCAGGGACGTCCCGGAAGACCCTGGGACGCGTCCGGCGGAAGCTGTCTCTGCGGCCTTCTTGGCGCGGGCAATGAGCAGCTTTTGGGCGAAGGGCACGCGCTCCAGCTCGAGCTCCACACCCAAATCCCCCCTGAAGCCGTGCTTTCCAAAGCCGGTTTGGTGATATCTGGACAACAAACACCACATAAACAAAAGATGCTATTTCAGCTTCCCTCCAATTGGTGGTTTGGATTGGTGGGTAGGGGTGGTTAGGGGTCATCTGATTATGCACATGTCAACCCATAATAATGTTCAATATACATGGTTGCTCAATTAAATGTCAAAGTGTAAATTGTTAATTCATCCCCTAGCAGCTTCCTTTTGGGAACGTGAAAAGACGGGCCATGCAGCAGCGCGGGCGATTCCCCAAGGGGCAGAACATGAACGGCAGCGTTTGATATGCCTTTGCCACACCTCGCATTGTCCCAACAGTTCCATGCGTACACTATAAACACATACAATAAGTATATAGATATACATGTATGTGTGTGCTTTGACATGTATGCATGTATATTCGTATAAACATACAAATATACATATATATATATATACACAGGCAAATACGAGGACATATGTCCGGCGATCATGTCGGAAGGTGTGCAATCCAAAATGGACAAATCAAAGCCGTCTGCGCCATGGGTCCTGACCCTGTGCATCATGGCCATGGCTTCCTAGGCGCCTTTACAGTGGTTGCCTGTATGCCCGGATTTGCCAAAAGCCGTCACATGTTGATTCGGGATCCGGGGATCATGTGATGATGTTGGCTTTTTTCAGGGCTACCTGGTCCCCACATTTGCAGTCAATCGCCCCAAGTCTCATTGTGGATCAAATTTTCATAGAAAGCTACCGGAAAAGTGAAGATTGCTGAGTGGGTCGAAACGCCCGGGTTGGGCGATTCAACTTGCTTACATGTTGAAATTCAAGTTCCGTGCTTCCTTTGCTCCTTCCGTCCTCCAACATGGAACCCATTGTTGAAAAATTGACAAAAAGGCAATTTTCCAGACGTACCATGGCAATCTGGAAGGGAGGGTAAGTTCTTTGCTTCGTTTTGGGGGCTTGGTTTCATTTGAGTTTAGGCAAAGCCTCCGAGGGCCATGATTCTGTGGGTAGTTCCCTAGGATTCCTTTTCATGGTCTAGATTCTAAACAGGCCCATGACTCTCCACGGTGAATACCGTGTATATTGCAAGCAATACCGTGCATATTGCAAGCAAGGGAGCCAAGAACCCCCCTAGTTTGTTGTGGTTTACCATGATTGTCTTGCTGACTATATGTGAACTGCCTCATCCAAGTAAAATTGCTGGCTTCCCCCTGCCCAAAAATGTTCAGTTTTTTGTGACAGCATATTCGTCTTGCCCAAAAGCTCAATAAAAGATCCTAGGCAACGCAACTCAATGCGACCAATGGCCACATCGGGGGCCCGCCTGGCCACCATGAGCGCCTGTGACTTCTCGATGATGCCCTCGATGTTGGACAAGGCTTGGGGCTTCTCGATCTTGGGGCAGATCTTCCTCGGATCTAAGCCCCTGGTTGCCTCCACAAGTTGACGGGAACCCCGGATTCATCCACCCCAGTTTATTGGGGGGTGCCAGGATTTGAAGAGAAACACTATTGATAGTAGAGTTTTTGAAATCCGGGGGCAACATTGGGGGGGGGAGGAAGGTTAGAATGCCAAGAAACGAACTCCCTCAATATTGCGTTTACTTGGAGATTTTGGCCATCCACTGTATCTTGTGAGTTGCCACCTAAACCCACCCAAGGGACAAAGGAAGTAGAACCCTTCTGGACTCCTTTGAATGGTGGCTAAGTTGGTTCTCAGCGAGTGAGAGAATGAATCACCCCTATAAGCCATCCCAATTCCGCGAGTCCCTCAAAACATCAACTTCCTCGTGCCTTTTGTCTTAAACTCACTTCCTATCACTTAGTGGATTGGCCAGAACAAGTCTGCACCTCTTTGTTTGCCACAATGGTCCAAACCCAAAAAAGTCTAAAGTCCAGGAACTCAGGAAGTCACTAAACACCCATCCCATGGGAACCTTTACGCCAGGGAAAACGGCTTCGATCCCAAGAGGCGGGCGCTTCTCGGCCGGCACCTTGAGGCGGTCCATGATGTCGATGAGCTCCTGCAGGTCCTGAGCCTTCTGAGCGAAGGACACCTCGCGCCACGTTCAAAAAAAATACCAGGAGTATGGGCGGCTCGTAGTTTTCTTAGGAATGGGGAGGAGGGGGGGTCCTCGTGGTTTTCCTTCTTCTAAAATGAAATGTGCCAACTTGTTGAACGTGAACAATCACAATGGTTTAAACTGTATCCGGTTGGTTTCCCTTTACCTAGGTTGGGGAACCCAACGCGTTGTGGGACACCAGCACGGCAAGGGAAACGACGACATCCACGACCATCCTGAATGTCCCAGTTGGCATGAGTTCGATTGAGGACTCTTTGGTGGACATCACTTACATGGAACAAAATATGTTCGTCAACGGACGTTCGAGATTGTTCCCCATCCCAACTCATAGCCTCGTTCGACTGGAAGCCCCTTTGATGACTTTGACTCCAGGGGTGTCCCACGTCGGGATCCGGACCAATGGTTTGTGGCCATTTTGGGGCCATCGCCTAGGCACCAACCAAAGGGTCTTGTTTGGGCATGTCCGTACCTTCCCAAATCTTCTCAGGCATCCGTATCTTCAGAAAATAGCCCAAAACCTTAACAATTGGGTGGTAGTAAGTTCAAAACAATATAAGTGCAAATAGATGAAGCCATCTTCAAAATTAAAAGGTGCAAACATGGAATACCTTGGGTGGTGCTTGATCAGAATGATGGGTGAAGTGATTGGGACTCAACCCTTGGACCTCTCACAACGCGAGTCTGAAATCTGAGGCTGGAAGGGGCCACACAGTCACAGTGCCTCGCAACAGGTTCGATTCGTCCCGCGATTTCCCAGGAACCAAGATGTCCAGAAGTCAGAATCAGAACCTTGGCACTGAAACGGTCCACCATGTCAAGACACGGGCGGCAGCCGTTTCTGATTGGGACTGTCCCTTACTGTCCTTCATCTATTGGCGCACAGGTCTCATGTCACAAATCCTTCGGGGCTGCTCCGAGGACGCTGGCAAAAGACATCTGCCTGGCAAAGGGAGAGCCAAACACTTTGGTTTCACGCCCAGTTCGCGTGGGTGCTCTAAAGGTTCGGAGCACTCCGCTTGCGGCTCAAGACGGTTCTTTTCGAGGTGCGCAAATGTACTCCACAGGTGGGTCCAGCTGGAGCAGGTATTCAGCATCCTCAATGTCCTCCCAGCTGTGCGATGCCGCAGTTCTGTTGCACTGCCTTCAAATCGATTGATTCCGTGTCGGTGGGATGATGAGTTGAAGGGGTACCCTCCCTTCGCTGAGCCTGCTTTCGTTCAGAGGGCGTTGGCAAACGCGGCAAGCATGTGCAACCAATACCCTCCCACCCACGAATTCGCATGAAACCCACATGGGTGGTCACAGCTTGGGCAGAGGTGTTCCGGCTCGGCTTGCTCACCTGCCGTGTTGAGCAAGCTTGACAAAGCAAAACTAAGTGGACATGAGTGACATGAGGAATCCCATCGACAAGTCATCACGGACAAAGCTCAGAATGTGCCCTACCTGCAATCAGGTTTGCACACTTGCAGCAATTGGGGCACACAGAAACTATATGTTCATCATGCTTCACATTTAGCCAAGTTGCTGGTGCTCAGGGAATGACCGAGTCCGCGTGTTGGGAATGAACCGGTTCAGGGGACTCCAGTAAACGGAAACCACATCGGATGGATGGTTTAGTTCGGGGTCATTCCAATTCTCATTCCCTGCCTATCGAACCGATCGCACATCAACCTACAGCTCCTTCTCTGTGAGCGCGGCACAGTCGATCTCGCAGTCCGGGACGTTCACACCCTTCCGGGCCTGCGAACCGCGCTGTTCTGGAGCTGTGGTGCAAGCATGTTGCTCATTTGCCGCGGCTGCCCGGTGGCAGCCGGTAGATGAAGAGGGAACCCTTCTTTTGGGTGGGGGGCACCCCGCCAAACAAAAAGTAGACAAGGCGCCACTGAACAACTGAGAGGCCCGGAAAGGAGCTGGGGACAAAGGTTTAACATGTTTGCCGACATCTAAATAGGAATTCACCGAAAGCAATACCCGGAAGGAGAGCTTTGGATGCCCCAATCGTGGACCACCCCAAAAAGAGAACTAAAAGCACAAAAAACATCGTGCGAATTCTACATTTGGGGCATCTGACAAGCTTTCTGGAGAGAACCCCTCGACAAGCTATCCGTTGTACTGGGGACACCTCCTCAGTTGCACTCGCAAGAGTGTCCGTGACACCACTGTCCAGCAATCCAAGGGCAACCCCTGTGCCTGCAAATGTGCGGCAACTGGCCCTGACGGTTGATTACCCATATCGCAAGTAGGCATTGGCAATCGGGGAACCCTCCAACTAACAGCGTTCAATTCCTGAGCCCTCAGTTGATCCCGTAAAACAGTAGCAAAAAGAAACCTAAGCAGCACATTATATTTATGTATTGCATTTATAGGTTGTGTGTCGACATGGGCGGTCATAAACCAAGGTGAAACGGGAACCCTAAAGAACAACACAAACATAATGATCAGTGTCTGAAAAATGGACTTCCTTTGGTATGGCTCTGGTTTGGGAAGGCATGAGGGAATTGGTGAAGATTCATGTCCACCAACCATATTTGGTAGTTCCCCAAAGAAAGCTCATAGCGATATACCCTCCCACCCTTTTCACATCGGCACCTGACGCTCGCGGAATCGGTCCTGGTTTCGACCATTTTCCTTTAAGGGGCCAGGTCCGAACGTCAAGCTCCATGTGAAAAGGGTGGGAGTGCAATTATTTTGCCATATGGGGGAGTCACTTTTTTGAGGGTAAAAGGAAACCACCTATTTTGGGGCTCCCGTATATGTTTTGAGACAAACCCATATGAGTCAACACGGGGCCCCGAGATAAGACTTCTCAACCGCTTCCGCGAAACCGTATGCCTTCAGCTTGCCCCCGCGGATGATCTTCACCTTGAGCTCCTCGGTGTGTATAAGCGAAAAGGCGATGAAAGTGGCCCATCCCGCTCTCAGCTTCCCTCAAAAATGGTGGCCGGGATGGTTTGGAGGTCAAGTTGTCTGATTTTGGATTGGCTTGCATGGTTTGGAGGGTAATGCTCACTCACCCCCAGTTTGAAGCCACTAATTGGGGGGAATTTGATCCAAGCAAGACTCCCCTAATTTGGAACCTGAACTTGCCAATAGCACTAACTGTGACCCAATTCGATAAAACAGTTTCCAGTGCTTAATTCGCGGGCCGGGGCAGGGTCAGGTCCTTTAAGCGGACTTGTTTTAAGTTGCTGGAATTTTGGATGAGCAAAATAATTACCCTCCCATCAATTAGCATGGAACCTGACAGGGGTCCCTTTGAAAGGAATGATGGTCTTCTGGAGCCCCCGAACGTCAGGTTCCATGTTAATTAGTGGGAGGGCAACATTGAACTCACAAGTTGGCGTTTGCCAAATCTCTTTGGGATCGGGCCCCTTTCTGGGCTTGAGATATGGAACGTCCCCCAATTTGACGCGATGCCTTTTGGTCGACAGTCTAAGGCATCCCAAGGCCGGCGTAAGCTGCTTGCTAAATTGGGGGGGGGGGGGGGGGCTGGAAAAAAAAACACGCAAAGAAAATACCCATCCCCTTTTGGTCTCCCTTGGGGAATGCTAAACATTGTGGGGCTACTTAGCACGAATCAAAAGCGTACTGCCTGAAGGAATCCTTGCCCAGAATCCCTACTTGACCTCGTGCTCACGTCAGTGCAAGGGACTCCCGTTGCGCCGAAATCGCCAGTGTTTGCAAATGCGTCTCCTTCACTTCTCGCACCAACAGGAAATAGCCCAAAACAGGAAACTCACGGGCCAAAGGGCCTGTCAATTAGATCCCAATGCTGCGGGACGGTCAGCAAACTGAGACTTCGGCTTGAGGGGGCCTCTCCTTTGATTTGCTCAAGGACCCACGGCTGAAACCTCAACCCTCAATCCAAACCACAAATCTGAGTGACAAGCATACTCTTAGCAACAAAAAACAGGATCTTCATGAGTGATGGCTTCATCCTCACAGAGCTCGCTTGGACCAAGCGGCTGTGTCGGAAAGCTTCTCCACCACGGTGACCTGCGCACATGCCAGCGGCACGCAGCGCCCGAAACCCAAAACCCATTGATGTTGGGCTCTACAAAGGTGGTTGTAAAGGTTGGTTTTGAATAAACAAAAACCCCAATTAAAGCAGGTAGAACCAAATTCTTGAGGCCTGCTAGCCTGCTGGGACAGCCTTTGCGAAGGCACACTGGCAAGAGTGTGCTGAACATCGATCGAATTCCCCAAAAGAAAGATTGTCTAAAATCCCAACGCACTCGCTTCCAAAGTCAAGTTATAGGTGCATCATGTTGCAACGTGGATGCGCCTCAAGCGGTCTCTTGCTGACATGCAACGGCCAAACAGGCTCGCGCACAAAAAGGCAAAAAAAGCATCCGTGTGGTCACTAAAGGAAAGAGACGGGCTTGCGATTGAGCCAAGGATAGTCCCACCAACAAAGCATGGAAGTGCAGCGGCCGCTTTTGGAAGACCATGCCATGCTTCTTGCAAAGGGAGCTTATGCACCAAGCCAGTCGGTGGAAGGGCAGGGTAAATGAATCTCTCACACGCGCCTTCATGATGCCGTCCTCAATGAGCAAGTCCTTAATGCGCGAGTGCTTTTGGAGCTCGCCATGGGCAGTTATTGTCCACGACGTGGCCGATACTAGGGCACAATCTTAGAACCTTGTTAGGAGGGGTTCTTACAAGGGTCTTAGAAGCTTTCTGGCGCAAAGGGTCTATCCCCTCAAATGTCCTTCCAAAGCCTCTTACATGAGACTGAGACGGCATCAAGGGATGTCTGCGGGGTACCTGAAGCTTCCCACCGACAGGCCCACTGGAAACGGAAATGAGCAAGCTCCTGAAAAGTCAGGACGCACCAAGCTTCTATAAACAGGAAGCAAATGCGCTGGAGTCCGCCTTTCTTCCCCCTCAGGGATTCCGCATCCCAATTCCATGGAAAGCATGCGAACTTCCAATGTTCAGCTTGAGGCACCTTTGCCTCTGGGCATTCGAGCACGTGCGATACACACAAAGGAGGGCCAAGCGGCAATGCCCACCTTGCAAGCTTTCACCAGGGCCAGCTGTTCCTTCGTCGGCTTCATGGTGATGCGGCCGGGCTTGATGAGGTCGTTGTCATCCTGGCACCGGTCTCTCTCTCTCTCTCTCTCTCTGTCTGTCTCTGTATATATGCATGTGTGTGTTAATGTGTATTTACATATATATATATATAGATATACGTGTGTTTGGTTGTTTGATTGCTTTTGAAGGTACGCCGAATCGCAAAAGTCAGTGCAATCTTGGAACCAAGGCAGAATCTGCATGGGACGCCGCGCATTCAGGAAGTCAAACAAGTCAGTGCACCAACTTGGAAGTCCCACTGGAGACGCACGTATCAGGGATGCTGTTTTTTCGTGCGCAAACAGCAGCCTGCAAGGTGTAAACCCCTTGAGACGCAGCATGTCAAACCAACAGGCAAAAAACACACAGGGCAGTCGCGAACCCCAATGGCGCACCTACCCTAAATGGTACCATTGGTTTTAACCCACAACCACATGTATGCTTCGGCAATGGCCCTAGGCAAACTCTTTGAGACAACCGCAGCTCACCTGCAAGTGGTGGGTACCGGGTGCGTGTCAGAATCGAATGATTACACCGACAGGGGTGCCTCAACAAACAACACATAACAACACCAATTTCCTTTGAAGAGATTGAAAGGGGCCAAGTGGCCTAGTACCCTGACAAACAAAGGCATCCTTCTTGGGCTTGCCAATTTCTGATGAGAACCTGCAAGGGAATTTAAGGGTGGAATTCGCTGAGAAACTGAGGTTTGGATAAATGTCTTTGCCCATGGGAACGACTCAAAGCATTGCCAGATGGTCCAGGCCAACTTCAAAGAACAAATGCTTCAGAGGATTGGCCAAAAGAGTAACCAAACTTTCTGTTTGCCACTTGAATGGTCTAAACACGTCAGGAGCTGCCCGGTGAAACCCCTGGAGCATTGCTCCAGGAAAAAACGATTCGCAATAGTCGCCCAAAATGTCTATCAAGTCCAGGAATTCAATTAAGTTTTGGAAGAAACTCTCAAGCCGTTTTCCCGAGGCCATTCTGCCATTGGAAAAACTTGACGTCCGCACCTTGCAGATGCCAAACTCCACCACCTCGCCCTCGATGAGCGGAACAGGCTCCCCTTCCAGCTCGCCCACGCGGAACTTCGGGCCCTGACGGGCGGCCGTGGGAAAATGAGCACTATATCCATCTGAGATTGGCAGCGGAGAACTATGCAGTCTGCCTAGCGCCGCCCAAGTTCAGGGATAGGATCAACACATATCAACACCCATGCGCCATTCGGCGCCGAAGCCTCTCATGTTCACCGGTTCACCCTGAGTCTGGGCCGATGAGCGACTAGGGTTGAATGCGATTGCTTTTGATGGCCCACCCCTTATGTACATGTACATCAACAAAGCACGCTTAGGGAACGAACGGTTTCCCACTGGCCCGCTCCAAGAACCATGCGGCTCAAATCCCAACTGGCAAAGAGTTCGCAACCAGGGAACTTCGAGAGGAAATCCCAAGAACAAACAATCAGCGATCCAGAATCCAAACGCCTTGTAAATGGTGGTTTCCCTTTATTTTGGTGGAAAAGGCGATGTTTCAAATGGGCAAAATGTATCTTTTAAGGAGCCCTGTTTCAGGATTTAGCTTGTTGCATCGTGGAACGTTGGCTGTCCCTTCTGTGATACTAAAGTTCCCACACTAAGACGACCCCCCAGCTCTACAGTGAGATACGCTACGAGCACCCTTGATCTACTCCGAGCTGGACCACCTCAAACTTTGCCCGTCGCATTCCGCCAGCCCAAGCCTTGACACGAGGCATCAGCCAGTTGATGTTTGCATGCCCGAATTGGGGCATGTGCAATTAGCTACCCAATTTTGACACCCACCAAACTCACCGACAAGGACACCTGACCACAATGGTCCACAGATGTCCACAGCATAAGCTCCACATGTAGCATTGGATGATTTGCTCGCATTGTCAAATGGACATCCATTGCCAATCATTGCCAGCTGATTGCTTCCTGAATATGGCCAACAAAAAATGAAGAACCCCTGTGGTTGTTTGTTTGTCTGTTTGCTTGCTTGAGCGTGTGTGTGTGTGTGGGTGTGCGTGTGCGTGTGCGTGTGCGTGTGCGTGTGCGTGTGCGTGTGGGTGTGGGTGTGGGTGTGTGTGTGTGTGCGTGTGTTGAGTGTGGGTTGCGGGCTGTGTGGTGTGGGGTGTGGTGTGCGGGGTGTGGTGTACGGTGCGTGGTGTGTGGCGCGTGGTGTGTGGTGCGTGGTGTGTGGTGTGTGGTGTGTGGCGTGTGGTGTGTGTTTGTGGGGTGTGCGGCGGGTGGTGTGTGGTGTGTGGTGTGTGGTGCGTGGTGTGCGGTGGGTGGTGTGTGGTGTGTGTGGGTGGGTGTGGGTGTGGGTGTGTGTGTGTGTGTTTGTTTGTTTGTTTGTTTGTGTGCTTGCTTGCTTGCTTGTTTTGTTTGTTTGCTTGCTTGCTTGCTTGTTTGTGTGTTTGTTTGTTTGTTTGTTTCTTTGTTTGTTGGTTTGTTTGTCTGTCTGTCTGTTTGGTTCTTTGTTTGTTTGTTTGTTTGTTTGTGTGTTTGTTTGCTTGCTTGCTTGCTTGCTTGTTTGTTTGTTTGTTTGTTTGTTTGTCTGTTTGCTTGCTTGAGTGTGTGTGTGTGTGTGTGTGCGTGTTTTGAGTGTGGGTTGCGGGCTGTGTTGTGTGGGCTGTGGTGTGCGGGGTGTGGTGTCTGGTGCGTGGTGTGTGGTGCGTGGTGTGTGGTGCGTGGTGTGTGGTGTGTGGCGTGTGGTGTGTTTGTGGGGTGTGCGGCGGGTGGTGTGTGGTGTGTGGTGTGTGGTGCGTGGTGTGCGGTGTGTGGTGTGTGGTGTGTGTGTGTGTGTGTGTGTGTGTGTGTGTGTTTGTTTGTTTGTTTGTTTGTTTGTTGGTTTGTGTGTTTGTTTTGCGTTTGTTTGCTTGCTTGCTGGTTTGCTTGTTTGTTTGTTTGTTTGTTTGCTTGTTTTTTTTGTTTGCTTGCTTGCTTGTTTGTGTGTTTGTTTGTTTGTTTCTTTGTTTGCCAATGTGGTTGACTGACATGGGCCCCGAATAGGGGGGGGCGTCCCCTCAGGTAAGCTCGCCATAGATTATGCAGTTCCCAAGCCACTGTCCAATCCCAAACTTGTAAGAGTTCAAGCTTTGTTTGCTGGTTGCAAGGGAAGACAACAATGTGAAGTTTAAAGGCTTCAACGTTTCGCTTTGGCAAATTCACAACTCGGCCGCCGAACTTCCCATCACAAGCCAGGCAGGCACCCACTTTGTCCGCCTGGAGGTCGCCCAAGCATTCCACTCTGCGCCCCAGGAGTTTGGAGTACTTCCTGCGGGGTGACATCACTGACTCTTTCATGTCCCTTCATGTGTCTTGTTTCTCTGGTTGCGGGCCAAAACCGGTACCCTGGAAACACAAAACCTGCGGTCCCCGGGTGGTCTCCAAGGCTGCCTGAACCAACGCATAAGAACAACAAGCTGTCAGGTGGATTTGGGAGGTTTGAGTTTAAAGGCAAATTCACCGACACCCAACAGTGATTTTGAGAAGCATACATACCGCTTTATGGACGCAGAACTCCAAATCCCCAGCCCTGTCCCCCACTTCCCACTTGACACCCATCCCGGTTGGGGCAGGCTCAGGGTGTGCCTTTTGTTTTTTTGCAAACAATAGAGGGCCCCCCTTAGTGTATGGCTCCCACATGTTCGCATTCCACCAAAGGCAAGCCCCGACATACCTCAGAAGGCTTCTGAGAACCGGCAGCTCCTTCTTTCGGTCCCTCGCCCTTTTAGTTTTGCATCGTACCCCGACCTTATGTACATCTTGCCCTTGGCTTTCGTGTTTGGACCCCTTGGCGTGTGGAACTTGTCTCGCTGGCTCATTGCCATCCCACGGCTCCTGATCAAGGGGTAGACCCGCTCGAAGTCACCGCCGCGGCGGTGGGAGCAGTTCAAGCGGAAAATGTCCTTGGACCGAACCCATCCCCAGACCGGAGATGCCCAGAACGCTGGTTTTAGATGGGGGTTCCTGCTCCAGTCCCGGCCTTAGACATTTTTTCGGGTCTCCTTGATGTATCATTTTGGACACCTGATGGCTGACCTTTCGCCAGCTGAGACTGATTGAATTCTTTCAAATGAATGAGACAACAGCCAGCGCAACCTAGCCTTTCATGGCTTGGGCAGATTGGCGAGGGAACAGCAATCAGAGTGACAGGAGGCTGCTAATCTGCCCGGTACATGTGCCTGTTTTTCGGCGCAACAAGCTTCACGCGGCCGGCGCGTCGCGCAGATTTCTCGCGCTACGCGCACGAGGGAAAGGGACACTGGAGGTGGCTCAGATTCCGAATTGCTTGAAGTCACATGAATTTCAGAACCAAAGCAATCACCCGGAATCAAGCGCAATCAAGAGGGATCGAAACAAATACCTTCTTTCAGTCCTAGAAGCGACAGGTTTCGGAAAACCTCCACCTTGAGAAGCCGCCTGTCATTCCATGATTGTTGAACAGAGGATGCTCTAGCTGCTAGCTCTATCTTTGAACTGTCGGCGACTCTCCACTACAGATGCATCCTAAAAATCCCAGGTGAGTCAGGTGAGTTGAATTCATTGCTCAGTTCCTGGAAGAACTGCGAGCCGGATCAAGAATATGTCGGTCCAAGTCTCGGTTCCCGCCTCGATCATCTTTGGAATCATCTCCTGCCAAAAAGAATCAGCGGCCAGAAAAAGGGCGCCATCCGACATTCTTCAAGGGGAACACTGCCCTTGCTCCCGCCCAACATAGCTGTGGAAGGTAACTTGGAACTTTGTGCTCTTAAAGAGACAGTCAAATGTTCTAGGAGGGAAGGGAAACGAACAACAACTGCGACTGGACAACTCTGGGCTGCTAAAACTGCGACCCGCAGGTTTGAAGACAGGCACTTTTCACTGTTTTACTGATCTGGGACAAATCCATGAAGGCGAAACGCCGTTTTTCCCCGACCAAACGGCAACTTCCCCCCGACCATGTGTCCAGCCAATATGCAAACGACACTCGTGCAGTGAAACACTTTTCTCTCCTACCAAAGGACTGACATTTGTGCTTTGGTCAAAATTACGTGCTCATATGTGCTAGAATCCATAGGAAACCACGTGACACCGTGGAAAATCATAGGAAGACATGGGAAGACCTCGGAAACCATCGACAAAGCTAGACCCGTCTTGCCCTGCCTCGCTCCAGGATGCCGGGCCCAAGCTCGCCACCACCTTTGTCTTGCCTGAGGAAGGAGCACATCTGGCGGTGGGTCAAAAATTTGGTAACCCCAAAATGGAGCCCTGGAGAGTGGACACATGGAAGAACAGGGTTCCGATAGAAGGATGTAATATTATAATATGCGACCTTTCATAATTGGGGGTCACTAATATTGTAGAAAGTTGTTTTCCGAAGTCACGATCCTGTGAATGCTGCGGGGTCCGGTATAACAGAGAGTGTTTGTTTCCACATGTGTGTTTCCAAAGAGGGAAATCCAAGGTCTGTACTTACAGTAGTTCATAAATTGCATGCAGCCAATGATCAATTCAATACTAGGAAATGGTGGCAATCCCAATGCTCGGAGATCCTGGGGGCCCGGGCGCTTGCTATGATCCAGCTCCTGCACATGCGCGTGGGTTTGACTCAAAATAAGGGACACCCCCCCAAGTTTTTGGTGCGTTGTGTTTGTGCTTCTAAAAAGAAAAGAAGTATTAAAAAGGGTGCCCTCTAAAACAAAAAAGAAGCCGTCAAGTTGCTTGTCTTGTTGTTTCCATTTGGTGAATGCCCCTATGCAAGTCATGGTCAAACCTCCCTATACAAGTCATGGCCATGGCTCCCGTATCGAAGCTTTACACTGGTTGTCTAACATGGTAAGGGGTGCACAACCAAGAATCAAGACTAAGTCCCTGCAAATCCGTCAAATCGGAATCCTCTTAACATGGGTGCCCGTTCAACCTGAAAAAGGCACCCTCAAAAACAACACATATCAGAATATTTCGTCTCTGCGGCGAGTTTCCATTCGTGGAGGCGACACTTTAACGAGGAAACAAAGGGAAGCCCTGGACCAACGCAGAAAAAAAACCAACGCAGGACCTTCCGCTCCAATGGGTTCAGCCTGGCACCCCCACCTGAGGCTTCAATGCCATCTTGCAGTCCAGGACTTGCGAGTGGACGCCTGGGTCGTTGAAATGAAACTCGATAAAGGCTCTCTGTCCAATCCAAGCATCCAGAGGGCTTCAACTCAAAATTTGCGCGCAAGCACCCATGAAGCTCCGAGTTCTACACATGGTTCAGAAAGCACAAGCACGTCCAAGGGGACAAGGAGAAACTTGCAGGCCCTAGCCACTTGAATGGCTCTCAGAACTCGTTCTAAGAAGGTTTCGGGGAGTTGGAGGGGGGGTCTAGGTTTGGCCCATTGGACCCACAAATGATGGCCCTTTTGATCCCAACCAAAAACACAAACAGCCTTGAAATGCCACATTGAGGAACGAAGCCGCTTGATGCACGGCAAGTGTATGCTTGCCGTTGGACATTTCACAGTTGGACGCCAATGGTTGGACATAGGAAGTCTTGGCCCAACCTTGGAGCACACCAAAAATAATGTAGTATGTTCCGATTCTGGTCTACCCTAAAAACAGTTTCGTCTAGTGAGGAGCCTGTAGCAACATGGAAGCTAGGCAGTGCAGGATGCCCACTGATCAGGCAGTTCCAAAGGCCGAGCTTTGATAAGACGCGGCATGCTTGCCCCATCCGGTGTCCAATGAGCCGCGCCGGAAACTGTTCTACTCAAATGGTTCTACAGCTGGTTGTGCTGGCTGCCTATGACATCCTCGTGAAGCCACCTACCAAAATGACCCAAACATGGCCGGGTGGGCCGCTAAGGATTCTGAAGGAGTCCGAGAGGCTGTACTTGTGCAGAATGAGCGCCAGGGTGAACTTCACGTACTCGGGGAACTTGATGAAGGAGACTGCCTCGCGGCTCGCGGCTCGCGGCTCGCGGCTCGCGGCTCGCGGCTCGCGGCTCGCGACTTGCCATCATGAAAGGTGAATGGGGTTGTCTCAATAGGCCCAACGAACCGAAATTGTGGATTCTCCGGTGGTTTCCCTTTAAAAAATCCCGCCCCAGGCTTCGGAAGATGACATCCCATCCATTGCCTGCAAAAGGAGTCGAGTTAGTTTGCCAAGTCTTGAAAAGGTTACCTGTGCACTTTCATCGGAAACAGGGTAGATGTAAACCCCGCGAACAGGCCAAGCAACCAAGCAGGGGACTGTCTTCCCCAAATCCTAGGGACATATTCGGACATATTTCAGCCCAAGCACTTCGTTGTTCCCAAATAGTCTTCCCTGCCCAAGTGCCTGTCACGGCTTTTTGCTGGCCCCTTTCCTTGCATTCATAAGTATTCCAGCTTCGCTGACCGAGCTGCCCGGTGACCAGGTACCTTTTTTGGGGCGATTCCACTTTTGGTTGGCAGCCCCCGAACGAAAAGGGATTAAGTAAGAGGACAGAATCCACACAACTGGGCGCTTTCACGGTTAGGACCTAGTGTCAACCTTGTTCCAACGGCAAGTTCATGTGGCGCGAAAAGCGGGTTGGGTTCTGCTTGCTTTGCAAGGGGCTGGCTCGCCATCACGGCCACACCCTGTAAAAGCATGGACTGAGTCCTGCTGCAGGGACCATCCGTACCTGAAGTCTTTGCAACTCAGGCGATGACTGGCCGACCCGCGCCACTTCGGAAAGCTGCAACATTGATTCGATGCGCTGAGGCTCGTACTGGGTTGTTCCAAAAAAAAATCCCCAACCCCAATTTGCAACCCGTAGTGGGACATCGATACAACGGAAGCCACCACTAGCACCTACCATGCCAGCCTCGAAGACAAATAAGGCACAGCAAAGATGGAACACGGATTGCTGAGCAGACATCATGTAGCGAGCGGTATCGACATCCCATGTTCTCGGACATCCTAGTGGCAAAGCCAGCCTCCCGCTGCAACTGCCTAAAGTTTGCATGGGCCCAAGTGCAAGGTCCAACAATTGCGAGCTGGCGGGAGAAGTTGTAGTGGCGATCTCGCAACAAAAATGGCTGTGGCAGTCATGGCCACGAGAATCGAAGGCGCAACCTATGGTATAGCCAGCAAGGGTAGCAGTAGTCACGGCCATCGCTTAAACGATCGAACCGAGCCACAGCAGCTGCAGCAGCCGCAGTAGTGCAACAGTGGTATGCCAAGATACTGGTGATATTGAAGGGAAGCAGTTCAAGCAGTTGATCCTCTACGGTATATAGCCCTTTGACAAGCCTGAAACCTGTCATTTAATTGAAACACCTGAATGGCCACACCACACCAATCGGCTACACCTCTGAAAATGGACACGGAACCCAACAACCTCCATTGTCAGCGGACCTCTCTGTGGGGCATCCCCTTTCGGCTCCACTAAGAATTGGCTTTAAACGGCGAGGTAAACCGGGCCCCAACCATTATCAAAGTCACCCCGGACGTGGTAGTTGAAGGGAAACAACCCCGGTTTCGGTTTCAATCTGGCCAATGCAGGGTTGAGAATGACATCGGAAAAAGTCAAGTCATCCAAGAAGCTGATTGTTGAGGATTGCCTGGGCAAACGACTCAGGCAACGCCTGCGTCAGGGCCAGGGCGGGCTTCGCGCAATAGCTGTACTTCCCACAAGCGATCGTCACCACCGATTCCCATGTCTTTTGCATAATCCGCCCAGTTGATCCCACCACTTCCCCCGTTCTGTTCAGCGATCTGTTCAACACAGGGATGGGTGAAGGAATGACGGATTTGCCTTGAGAACCAAGAATCAACCACGACCGGCACAAAAAAGGCTTTTCAACAATCAGCAAAGCCAAACACGTGGTGGTAAATAGCTCGTGCCAACTTCAAAACCAGGCGGAAACCAAAGGCGCCCCCGCCTTGGTTTGAACCTTTGGAAAGGGGGAATTTTGTTTGGCAGCTCATTCACATGTCTCAGGCGCACTGCTGCGTTACAGCCGGCCTCCAGCAGTGCTTTCCAAAGGCTTGATCCTTCCAGCTTCTCCCTCTGAAAGGCCTCACCGCCCGCTGTGTCTTGAATTCCGCCCCTTCCATAAGGGCCCCGAGCTTACTAGACCCCCTGGAAAACGTGAGCTATTGGAAACCCAAAAGGGCACACCACTTTTAGCAGCACTCGCGCGGCCAAAGGGCATCATACTTCTTGAAGATGGTCCAGCACCTCAGGGATCCAATGGCTTATCCCAACAGCTTGCTGGACAGCACGCGGGGGTCAGGCGAAAGCAGCGGTTGGTTTTGCTGGGTTGCTCGCCCCCTAGGTTAATGGCCAAAAGGTCTAAGGGACGCGTCGGTCACAAGAATACCCGTCATGAAGACGGGTACCCTCAAAACATTGCAAAGCCAAATGAAGCAGGCCACCCTCACCAGAACACAGGGAAACATGAGCATGTTCGGCCCTTCACTCGAGCAACAATTCTACCAACTTTGTATGATCGTAGGGTAGGGTAGCAAAAGGGCAACGGCGGTGTACACCAATGGAATGATTGATGGTCATACATGTATTACTTCTAGGTTCGACAGGCCAAACGAAGCATGCAAACTAGCGTCCCTGCGTTGCGAGGGCGACTAAAAAAAACGTAAAAGCCTAGATGCACCCTGTACCATGACTGATGGATATTTTCAAGCCAAACATGCATACCACTCACCACAACATCGCCGACAGCAGCATCCACACTGTCGTGTAGACTGAGAGGGTTTGGTAACTTTCCGCTTTTCCTTGGCCCACTTTTGGGCACCTCCCGCAAGATTGCCTTTCAAAAGTGGCAAATAGATCACCAGGAATGGCAAGCCTGGCCGACACACTGAATGCGTTCCAAGAGGCTGGTCCAGGTACTCCTGCCAAGATGCTGCCAGCGATTTCGTGGATTTTGTCATGCGGCTACTTGGCCGCAGTTATCTTGCTAAGAATCTCAGTAACCCAATCTAGGTGTAACACTCCGCATTGAAAACCGTCGGACAAAACACACCGCGAGGCAAAGGTACTAAAGCTGCGAGAACACTACCAACCGTGAAATTCCTGTCGCAAATCGCGCAAATAATTTTCGAACGCGCTTTCTAGAACCACTCGGTATCTTAGGAAATCTACAATCTGAATTGTGCAGGTTTTGTTCCAGTGGGTCCCAAATGGAACAAAAGGTCCAGGTAAACAGTTGCACCCAACGCTCCCAAGAGTTCAGTCACAATGATAAATTATATACCCATAATGGAAGCTGTCGCCTTATGGGCCAAAGGCTACCCCCAAGAAAATGGAGAGAACCAACTGCTGTCGCCGTGTGGGCCAAGTGAATCCTTCATGTTTCAGCCCATTTTACCCCCCAACAATGGAGACAAAGGCCATTCAACCGATCGACCCGCTCCTTCGACTGGACTTTGCTCCTCACTGCCTTTGGCAGCCTGCGGGATCCGAAACGCAGGGCTGAGTCAGCCTGCCGCCTACCAGCTTGGGCTAAGCAATCTGCTCACTAAGCTTGCCAGGCCACACTCTCCATGTGTTCCATATTGGACACTTTGAAGGCAGTGGCCAGTGCCCGATCCCAATGAGGATCAGCGATGTGGAAAAAGGCTTGACATACTGCTGGGATACTCCAAATAAACCCATATGTTCAGATTCTGCTTCACTTTGAGCCTACCTTACATTCAATAAATATCTTTGGACGAGACCCCAAAAGAGGTCCTTGCCCACCTAACTTGAAACGATGGGAATTGAAGAAACAAGGAAGCGTTAATTGGCCCTCTGTTTTTGTTGTTTTTTCAGGGTCATCACGGAAAAACGCGCTATTTGCGCAACTCTGTGGTTTTGCGCGTTTCGTTTAGGCGAAACACAGATTTCAGATTTGGGCGAAAACAGAGTGTGTATTTTTAGGAAATGGTCCGTCGCTTGTGGCTTTGTGAATTCGTTGAGGCGGAACCGTGATTTCAGATTTGGGCGAAACCGTAGTGTTACTATTTTTTTAGGGGGAAGGGTCCGTCATATGTGCCCGCGAAGCAAGCTTGTGCTTTACCTTCAGCTGATCCATCATATTTCCTGATAGCAGATCAAAGTTAGCTGGTTCTGTCAGGGGAACCCTCAAAGCTCATACGTTTCTATTTGCTTTCTTCTTGGCGTGGAAATCGCACCTCTAAATTGTTGTTCATGTGTCTTCTTGGGAGGAACCTTGAAAATGCCAGGTGTCTGTTTGGGGCGTGGGCTTTTACACCTCATAGTTCTTGCGTGTGCTTTGCGGAGAGGGAGCTTCAAAACACAACGCTCCGTTGCAGGGAAACTGGACACGTGTAAGCAAGCGCCAGAGACAACACAAACAGCGCGCCCGCCAGGGATACCCGGACAGACCGCGAGCGCGTTTCCACGACGTCACGCAAAGTGGACCGCCAACACGACGACAGAAACGGCAAGGACAAAGACAAGATGTCGAATGAAGGGGCCACCGGCGCTGATCCGCCACAATGGACACAAAGTCACCTCAAGAGCAGCGTAGGCTCAGTAATCCAGGCGAACCTGAAACCACAGCGCAAGGTTGGGAAGGGAGAGGGAATTTGCAATGCGTAACAAGAGAGAACGAAGCACAAAGCAAGCACTGCGTCAATTGGGCAGCATGAGCTGACGCCTTTGAGCACGCACACAAGTACAGCGGGTTTGCCCCTACCCCACCCCAACCCCACCCCACCCCACCCCACCCCACCCCCTAACCAAACACAATGCGGCAAGAAAACGCAAGAAAACGCGCAGAACCTGTGGGGCCGTTATCCCGGACGCTAGCAGAAACAAGGGCCCCTGCATGTTACCACCTCTCCCCACACTTTCAGAAAGGGGTTGGAGGAATTCTCGTTTTGCTAGCAACGCATAAAGGCTGCGCGCCCAACGTGGAACTCTCACCAGTAAACGGAATTGCTGGCTAGACTTGAGCCTGGCAAGAGTGCCCGGTAATACCATAAGGGTGAGGTCACAAGCCCGCGTGAGGTTGCGAAAAATGATCTAGTCACCGGCCAAATTGGCAAACGTATTGCACCTCTTGAGGAGTTTGCCCACGTTGACATCCTCGCGCTGATACATAGCCTGAGGCAAAGCGGGCGCGCCCAAGAAAACGATGCCAAAAAGGCTGAAGGCTGAGACGTCTGCACGAAACTGCCTTCGAGGTAACTACTGAATCAGCTGACCACCACCACAACGCACTCATGACTTTTGGAGTCTTAGATGCGTCCTTGATTTTCCAGGGCCCCCAAAGCGCAGGCCTTTGGCCGGTCCCTGACTTTTCAACAGGAAAATCAGGAAGGACCCTTGGACAAGGTGATCGCAAAGCAACAATCCACATAATTCAACATACACCGACGAAATAACTTCAGAGCGCAGTGACAGTGAGAGCAAGACCTCTTTCTTCCTTTCTCTGATGTAATAGGCAGCTATTGGACTTGACGCATCCCAGATTCCCGCAAGATATCTGAAGGTCCCTAAGGTCATTCAGCTCGCCCAAAGGCAACACGATTTGATTCAGCCAAAGACCGAAATTGTTGCCATCTGATGATCACACCTCACCACAAACACGACGCATTTCTGAGACACGAGGCGTTGGGGCCAACCCTTCGAAGGCATGACTGTATGACCCTGACTTATCTTGACGTGCTGCACCTGGCATCACATTCAGCTTTGCAAGGGGGAAGTTCACCAAGAGTCCTTGCCTCCTACCCCCAACCAGGGTCAACCTCTTGCTCACACATGGAATTATAAGCACAAATTGTTTGGCCTTCTTCAGTTGTTCTTGTTTTTACTGGTTGCTGTTGGCCGGGACCTTGTTTGTGCACATCCAGCTGCGGGCGGAGGCATTCGCACCACTTCCTCCCCCCTAACCCCCATACACCCCAGGTAGTAGAAGCACCTAAACTGGCCAATAGGAATCGGTAGTGGGCGCTTGGAAGCTGTGCACGCCGGGCGGCGGAGCCGATGCTGGAGCTGCGTCAAGTTCGACGCACCAAACGGACTGAGCCCAAACTGCTGTTTCAAGAGGCGACGGTGACGGCGATGTTTCTCCAATTCCTCCGTATGTCTAATACAAATCCAAGAAAGTTGCTTCAGAAAATGGACAGAAAGTCAACTCAACCCGCGTAGAACAGAATTTGCCTGTAGCTGTGCGTGGCGCATCGCAAAGCAATTGGAGGTCTTGGAAGTTCCCTTTCTGGATGATTTCAACACCTGTGTTCAAATGCCCGGGATGGAAATGTTCAATTTTCTTTGAGGCGAAGCTTCAAGTGGACTTATGTGAGCAACCTCAGGACCCTCAAAACCTTCCGGATTCGCCAATGGCATCACCTGCAAACCGGCCTGTGCAACAACCACGCAGGAAACACGGTCTGCCGTGCGCCAAGCTACCTGGTCCCTTGGTCCCTTTCAACAGGAATCTGAGCCCTCGCAGTGATTGAAGCCGGAAGCTGCAAACAGTTAGCTGCAAATGCGCCCGAAATGAGTTGAACATAGGCGGAGTTGCACATAGTCGAATAGTTGAACCGCCCCCAAGGGAACCTGCCAAAAAAGTTGGCCGGCGTTGGCTCGGACCTGTGAGGCTGCCGCAAGCTTGGCCCGAAGTGTTCGGCCCGGCTGAACCCGGATGTTCCTGCGTCTCATGAATAAACAACTGGCTAGTGAAAGAAGATAACCCCTTTTCCTAAACATGGTTCAACCAGTGTTCAAACAATATGCTGGCTTCCTTTTGGCGACCGGGGATGAGTGCTGCAGGCCGCCCAAAAACACCGCCATAAGTCACAATGCGTTCGAGCCACCAGTCATCCAAGTTCAAGGATCGCAGGGTAAATGCGCATATAGAATTGAGCTCAAGATATCCGTGCCATAATTCATCGACCTTCTCATGATGCGCGATCAGTCAATATCAGAATCATAGCGGCTAATTTAGGAGGTTGCAATGCATCTGGTTTGCCGAGTTGACCGGCCACACAAGGTGTCGGCATGAAGCAAGTGAGCGAGCTGACGGCTGTCGATTTGCCTGGGATGGAACCCGCGATACGCCGTGGCCATGAGGGCTCGAAGGGAGCCTCGGTAGAGCAAAAGCGAAGGGGCCATCAGTCAAGGGAAGCCATTGCAGCCTGAGCTGGTGACCGATTAGGTATTAAAGTAGGGGTCTCCATGTTGGAATTGGAGTAGCTGTCCCTGCACGGGAATTGGACCGCTCCAATCTCAGGGCATTCCTCCAACAATTGTGACTTACTTGCCACGCTCTCTAGCAGGAGAACAAGGAAGTAAATACGTTTAGCAGTGATGCAGGGGGGAGCAGGGATGGGATGAGGATACATTCCCCAATTTAGCAGGGTGGCAAATGTAACCAGGACCCATGTGCATGCCTTCCCACTTCCCTGTATGGTGGCGGGTGCGAAGTACCTGGACGCGTGAAGTGGATGAGGCGATTGGCGATTGGTTGAGTCGAGAAGGGATTCGAGAGAAGACCGTGCGGGGTGCCACACAACATCGTCTTCCCAAAAAGTATAAAGCCCGGAAACTCAGGGAGTGAGGGGGATGCAAGGACATAGCAACAGGTGAAATACCCCGTTCCGGTTCATTCCCAAATGCCCAGATTCCCTGACAGCTGGCACAACTTCATCACCCAGATGCGAACCGGGGGTTCAAAACACCTAATCTACCAATTAAGCACAACCTTCTTGCTGGAAGGGAGATGGAGAGGACCAAAAATGGGGGTCAACCCAACCGAGGGAGGCATAGCAAGGCGCGCTGAGGCCCCGACTCCTCTGAAGCTCCCCGCCCCGAACGTCTTGATCCAACGGCGGTTCAAATCAACCCCAGTGGCATTTTCGACATTGGAATTTCGCGGAGCTCAGTTGGTGGTTAAGGAGGGGCTTCCCATTGACCCTCTAAGCCAGGAAGTTAATGCCCCGAGAAAGCCGAAGCTTGTTGCTAGGCCGCACGTGTCACCAAAGGGTCCAACAAAAGAAATGCGCCTAATTATTGGAATCCTTGGAACAAAGGTTTGCGAGGACGTCAGTTGCTCGCCTTGGCGACCTCTACCACAGCTTTTGCCCCCAACCAAAACGGCTTGATTCCGGCCCAATACTGAACCCACTGCAAAGTCATTTAAGAGATCCCAGCAAGCCTCAGGCGGCTGTCAGCTGCTTGCTAAGGGAAGCCCCCCCTCTAAGAAGCCAGCAGGAAATTCGCCAAAACCCTTCGGATGTGGGTGAATTGCTAAGGAGAGTGCCGACTGTTTCTGGTCAAACTTGGGGCTAATTGTAAAGTTGCGGCTGGGTGCCAAGGAGCGGGGCCTGGGAAAAAGAAAAAAAAACATGCTCAATCCGTCTCCATTTGGCTTCCTTTCATTGAAATCCAAAATCATGTGTCCAGCAGTCTGGGAAGGAAGATGTTTAAGACGCGTTTTTCTCCGAGACAGCAGGCGCCATCTCTAGGAGAACGGCCCCTAATTACAGGGCCGGTGAGACTCTTCGCCGAAGCCTCCTTTGAAGCCAGCTGTGTTCAACACATCGCAGAATTAGCCTCTAAGTACCATGGGTGGTTTTGGGTCTTCCATCGGAAACAACGAAAAAACACATACCGTCAGATTCACAGCCCGAAATTTGGCTGAGGCCGTTAACTACACATACACCACGGCCCCGCTAAGGGGGCCCGTGCCGCAATGGGGAGGGCTGCGGCTGAGCCAGGCAAGTGCGGAAGGGCTAGGCACCGCGCTTGACTTCATCCCAGGAACGCTAAAAGGCGACGTTTGGGGCCTCTGGGCAAACTTCTACAATTCAGACATCGGAAAGAAGGAATGCCCAAGGAGCTTTCAACAAAGGAGCTGGTTTTGCCCCGAAGTGAGATCGCTCTAATTTGTTCAGAATGAGGTCTCAAGATAAACCCTGGTCGAGCTACCCCACGCTCAACATGGCTGTGGAAAATAGGCCGTGTACCGCTGAAGTTATCCCCCCTGAGTGGATGGGTCAGAGAAAGTTCAGACTTACTGTGAACCATTAAAACTGTCTTCCCCAAAAAGTGTGCAGTCGAGAAACTCGCGAAGAGCATTTTGAACATGAAAGAAAACACCGCTAGTCGCTAGTGCCTGATTAAGACCATGAGTGCATCCCTGCCCTTCTGAACACCTGGTCTGCCGCATTCTCGGGCACCGTTGAAGGAATAGCCTTCTTAGCGATGCTAAAGCTGCTAAAGTGGGCCAGTTGTATCACCTTGTGTAACTACTTGCCAACTACTTCGTGGCTTCAAGACATACAGTGGCCCTAAACCTCTGCATTTGCAAAAATCATAATGGGCATTGCCACGTCTTCCATGCACTATCTGCGGCATTGAATCCTGGGATGTCTACGTCATGCGCAGCCGGCCTGGTTTCGCGCGCAGCCCAAATTTTACACGAGCAGCTCGCTTGCACGGGTTTCCCGTAAAAGGACACCCATTTTGGCTGGCTTCATCTTCAACTCCCAAACTCCCCCACAAGGGCGGAAACAAAACAAGCCCACCCAAAACTGCAAACTCGAATTAATCCACGGCCAGGAACATCAGGCAGGTCTCTGAGTTTACGAAGGCCTGCAATGCAGGGCAGAGTCAGTGGGGTAAATTTGCCTCACCCCGAGTAGACTGGCCCCCAAAAAAGGTTAAAACGGTCTTCTCAAATGGTTTAAAGTCCATGAGCTCGGGAAGTGAGTTGCTTGGCATTACACCAGGTTCCGGTGGAAGCATGCATCGCAAAACAACATATGTGGATCCTCCAAATCAGAGTGGTGTAGCAATGCAAGGGGACAAAGGGCGCGTTTCGACCCTGCCAAGAACATTGACCAAAGTCAGGGAAGCAACAACTGAACCCGGTTCAGCTAGTGGCCAAGAAGGGAATCGACTAGGTTTGACCTTGTGTTTGCACTTTGGTCCATGTTTCGGTCCCGGTCCCAAATCGCCAAGCTCTTATGTCTATAGGTCTGCTTGTGGAAAAAGGGGAGCAACCTTTTTGCGGTAACAAAGTGGTTGATCTTGGTGTCCATCCGAGCTTTGTCACTTTACGGGAGGATTTCTTGGCCACTCCAGAAAATGGCAACCTTACCCCGCACCCCCCTTCCCCCCCCCCCAATTTTCCACAGCCACCCCAAAGTGCAAGTAAACCAACCACAAACCAGAACTTACGGGGGCTCCCCTGTCCGCAACTTGCAATGTTCGGGGCTTAGGGCATCCACCGAGCGAATCACTGCCCAAAGCCGCCAGAACTGGAGACATTTTCCGATTTTCCATGAGACGCTTCCTTGCGACTCCGAAAACCAAAGGGAGCCATGAGCTCGTGAGCTGTGCATATGGCCCTCTCCAGGGGTTCTCAATGACTCTGTGGTGTGTTTTCCGGAACCCTACTGCAGCTTCCCTTCCTTGAGCCCGAAGAGTGGCCAACTGTCTGGCTGCGGTAAGGCTCAAAGAAGCCAAAGCTCCAAAAGACAGCAACCGCTCCATTTTCGGCCTGAAAAACACCAGCCAATCAACTGAATCCCGCCTGTAGGAAAGGCTCCGGCTCTGGACTGAGCTTTGCCTGGCAGCTACTGCCCTTGCCCAAAGGACAACTGGGAACCTTGACGGAACAAAGAGAAAAGAAAAAGGTCAACAAGTCGGCTTACAAGTGAGGGCTCATGGAGGTTCACACTCCTGCATTTTTTTCGCATGGAACCCGGGAAGCCACTGCTGTTGCGGGATCCCTTTGTGGGGGGGGGGGGAGCATGTGACGATGAGCACCCAAGTTGAAGCAGTTGCAAATTGACACCGGGTGTCCGCCGTACATAATTTTGACCCGCGACCTTCATGGAAACTCAGGGTGGTCTCGTCCGCCAGTCAAATGAGTTCTGAATCTTGCTGGGGTATGAGGGTGCCAGTATCTCGCTCCTTCGTCAAACCTTCTAGCCCCAAGTGCTTCTTCTCACTTCCTGAGTGGATTGGCCAAAACGGGTTCGCACCTCTTGGATGGCACTCAAATTGCCGCGATCGCCACGCCCTCCCA